CAAATGCACACAATCGGGTTTCAAATACCGCGCAGAGGCTTTGGCACACTGATGTCACCAATACACTCACCACTGCCTAAGGCTGCCTGAGTTGCTGGTTATTTACATCGTTTGTCTTCATTCCAGGCAGGGAAATGTACCTGAGAGTGCACAAGTGCTTAGTAAACATTGATTAGAAGAAAGTATAACTTTGGTCTCAATGTTGCGTGTGTTAAAACTTTTAAAATAACAATAATATCAAAGATACCATCTGAAATTGTTACAAGTTGTATAATCTAATACTTTGGAAATATCTCCAGAGAAAATGTGAGAAAAAGTGACTAGCATATTATTTTTATCATGTGTTATCTCTTTTATATTCTATGATGTCCTAAAAGACATACATGTGAATCTGGGGAATTAAATTTGAGATGCCCCAAATAAAAATAAAAAAGCAGTAAGCTTTGAATTTGTCTTATTACTAGAAGATCAACCATAACTTCTGACTGTGATAATAGAAAAATAATTCATTTCAAAATGAAAGAAAAACAGCATTTCATATTTTCTGAGTCAAATAGGCATAAATAAAACACTAAAAGATCAGAAAAACTTTGCACTTATGAATTATATTATTGCCTATGATAAAATCTGAGTAAAAATTAATTACTATACTTGTGATATGCAATTGATAACTGTTAACACAATACAAATAAAGATTCTACAATTACAAAATGATTATTCAGATTCCAGATTTTTGTCTTTAAAGTTCTTTTTCTATTTTTTGCGAAGGAAATAAAAAAGTAGGAACTGACTTTTAGTATTTCCATTTCATCTTTAATTTTCTAACATCCAACTCTGAATCAGTAACTTTTCATTTCATCCTGATGTTAATAATTTTAATTATAGCACAATGCTTTTTTAAAACATGGACACAGTTGAACATTTTATTGTATAACAGGCACAAAGTAATTCTCAAAATGGTTGTTACATTTCTGATAATTACAATTTCTGCAAGTCCTCGTGGGTGTCTTTATGATGTTTGATCAAAAAATACGGTGAGTTCTGTTACCAACTACAATCCAACAGAAAGGCAAGTTCCTAAAAACACTTGCTAAGACCTCATTCATCTTACTCACCAGATCCGGTGCGACTTCTGACTCTTTCCCAAAGTCAAAATTACAATGAAGCAGAAATACTTTTAATGGATTAAGGATATCAAGGCAGCCACAACAGTGCAACCGAAGACACTCACGAAAGAGAACGTCTGGTATGGTTTCAGAAAGTGGCAAAAACAATGGGAAACTTGTGGTTGAAGTGATGGGGCCATTATGAGAAAGATTAATGGCAATGCGTTTTTAACTGTAATATTATTTTATTTTTTCTATTTATTTTTATTAATACGTGTTCGTGATACATAAATGCATTCATTATTGGGAGTTGGTGCATATACTATAGAACCTTAATCCTTTTCACATTTCCTTTCCTTTCCCTCTCTTCTCTTTCCTTCTGTTCCTAAATCTACTTTCCATCTCCAAAAGGTCCATCATAAAACATTGGAAAAAAACTAACCAATCCTAGATTTTTTCGTTTGTTTGTTTGTTTTGTGTCTTTTTCATTTTTATCGGTACCAGGGATCGAACTCACGACTGCCAGCTTGCAAGGCAGGCGCTTATGTCGCTGAGCTAAATCCCCAGCCCCCAATCCTGGATTTTTTACCAAACTTCATAAATATACTAAGAATCTGCACTATCAACAATAGACAAATAGTTACCACAACAAATTTAAGGATAAAATAAATGTGATGAAACACTCTATAACTTCAGAAACATAGTTATGTATATTCTAAAGGGCATCTTATTCATATTAATCTAATGCTAGTTTGACAAAGCTGTGTAGATTTAAAAACAACGTGATAAGTTGAATCAGTCAAAAATATTTTCCAATACTGAGCTTCAAAGAATTTCAGTTTGAAGGCACTATTTTCTCATTTGAAACTGTGCTCATTACACTCCACTTCTAATCTAACTAAGTAGATTTTCTTGGTATGCTAATTTTTTAGGCAAACCTCTTGATTTTGTCACATAATTTAAAAACTTTCAATTAAGTGAAATAGACCTTAACTAGCTTTAAACTAATCTTCTGAAAGGAACCAATTTTATATTTCAAAGCAGACAGTTTTAATATTAACCTGTACTTATATAAATTGAAACTAGTGTCATGATTCTTTAGTTCTTTGACCTAAATTTCTCTCATACATTCCTTTCTTCATATGTATCTCAAGCATAAACTAAACAAGACAAAACAATATGCATAGAGGTTCTTGGCATAGTATTTAATCACTAATTGCATTATTGTACACATTGTGTGTGTGTATGTACCTGTATCTGAATCTTGCAAATGAAACATTGAACTAAATTTTCAATAAGATTGTATAAGAAGTAGTCTTTCTTAGTTGCAAACAAATTTTGGGTGTTACTATTTTTTAAGGAAATTGATTAAATATCTCTGAATCTTAGTTTACTTAGCTTTAAAATGGGATAAGAATACTCATTTCTGTGGACTACAGAGAGAGGGGAAAGTGGAGAGGCAGGAAAGAAGGGAAAAAGCAGATGCCAACCTAGGATCTAGCCTGGAGAATATAAATTACTGAATAAGTATTTATTGAATTAATTCTATCAAAATACAGTTATCACTGAACTAAACTACTGCATATCATTTAAAGAGTGTTAGAACTGTGTAACCAAATATTAAGATAAATGTGTAATTACAGATATTCTAACAACTCTGATTAATCTACAACAAAGCAACCAGCATTGATAGGTCAAGTATACTGACCTTGATGAAGTATTGTTATTGGTACAGGACTGACCAACTATTTACAAAATCTATGCATGGACATATCTGCCCTATAACAGAGGAGATTTAGGAAATTAAAGTTACAAATTTTGTAGAAAAAACAATTATTCACACTTCCAGAATACAAATTTTAGCATAATGACTTATCAGTCACTTTTATGTGTATATAGACATAAGCTAAAGCCATTGAACCTGCCATTAGTAGAAATAATAACTGATGTATGTATAAAGATTTGTGCTTCCTCTTGTTTTTCTTAATCCTTAAAAACAACTCTTACAGAATAACACAAATGAACAATGAATAAAACAAATTTTCAATATGGGAGCTGTAGACATAAGTCAGGGAACATGCCAAGAAATGTTTGCTGCTGAAGATCCATTAGGAAATAAAACGAACTTCACACTGAGATTTGTATTCAAATAGGTACACTTAGGTTTTTAGCCTTGTGAGTTAAACCAATCAAATACACATTTAATAATAAAGAATGGTGTTGAAAAACTATATTAGTGGTCAAGGAATTTGTAGGTTTTATCTACCAATTATTGAATGAGCTTCCACATTTTGTGCTAAACCTTGAAACACACTGTGACATCATCACACACAACTCAACTTCTGTTTGTTACCAAATCAGGAAATGTGAATCACTATCAACCAGAGTTAATAATTGTCTCTCTGGGGTCCCAAAGTGCCTATGTTAACAAGTGGTACATTTAATTTGGGCCCTTGTAACTCAGAATTTCCTGCTTAGCTCGTTGTTCCCCAACTGGGATTGAGTAGTAGAAACAAGAAGGGTCATTTCTCTTTGACCTGCATGAATAGTGTCTAACACAGCATTTGCTACATTCTTCAGTGGGTTCCATAGTTGTGTGAATAAATTAGGGAAGACTTTATTGTTTTTCAAAGCATATTCACATGTATCATTTCACCAGAACCTCACAAAACTCAGTGACTGCAATTAATTTTCTCCTGATACTGAAACTCTACAAGATTGAATGTTATTATTTCTCTTGTTTGACAGATGAGGAAACTGAGAATCAGTATCTAACTGGCCAACCACATAATCAAGACTCCTCATTTCAGGATAACAGTCATTTTAAGACACTTGATGAAAAGAAAGTCATATTGAGCTATAATTTTAGGTGCATCTTTAGAGTCTATAAATGTATTGTAGCCAATCATCTTTGACTTCCACAATTATAACTGAAATGTTGTTTTTTCTCCTCTGTAAATAAGATGGAAAGGATATTTAGAAATCACCCAGGTTGTAATAGAAGAACACAGCATCAAATACATATAAATATTTCGTTGTGAATGTGTGCTTTTAATAATTTATTGCTAGCCAGAGCAATTCAGCTCTGTCACAGGGCAGGAATTGGACTCATCTCTGTCATTCCAATCCGACAGGCACAGACTTCGTCCTTACGCCCATTGAAGGTTTCTCTGAGCTTCTTGATGAGGAAGTGAATCCTTAATGTTTCAAGAGAATGACAGCAGCGTTTTTGTTGGGGCAAAAGGTCACAGTCAGTATTGGAAGGCTCCAATAATGAAATTTTGATCAACTGACTCTAAAGTCAGTCTTTTAATAATCCCTCACTAGCTCACAAGTCAAAGGGACTAAACTGAACCCTGAGTTTAGGGCCTGGCAGTGGTAACCCTACCTGTTTCTGACTTATGTTAATAGCGGTACCTCTAAAAGATCTTTGGCTATAAACCAACATGAAACGGTGCCAAAGTGGCACCGTTTTTCAAAGTGGAAGCGATTTTAATGCTTTTGTAGGGAGTACTACATCCTATACCCCAGTTCTAAAGGGACAGACATTTCCTGATGGCACTCTAGCGGTAAGTCCGTTATGTTGAATACTGTTGCAGGCTAACATTCCAAAGCTCTTTAACAGAAATTAACAGCCACTACTTGTAAATCTCAACAATTCTTACACTTAAGGAGATGGTATTATTGGATTGCAGATTTCTCTTTATCTGGAAAAAAAAAAGAAACACCCCCAACTCTTTCCTCCCCCATCGCTTCTCTCCCTGACCTGCATGCTCTGAGCATTTTATCTGAGTGCAAAGTTGCCGAAAGCAGCGCGCCAGCCTCCGCCAGCCAGCCCGCGCTCCCGGCGGCGCAGCGAAGTTCCAGGGCGCGGGCCTCCGCTCCGGAGCCGGCCGCGGAGTCCGTCTGGGTACCTGCTCGGCCGCGCGCGCCTGCGGATCGGTCGCGGCGGAGCAGTGGCGTCTCCATCTGGCTCCCACCGCCCGAGCCGCCTCGGCTCGCCTCGCCTCCCCCGCCCTCGCCCCCGCCCGCCTCTCCGCCTCCCCCTCCGCCCCGCCCCCAGTCTCCTCCTCTTTTTCTCACCACCAGCGGCGGCTGATGCTGAGGCCGAGCGTCACTTCGGCTCCCGCGGCAGACATGGCGACGCTGACTGTGGTCCAGCCGCTCACTCTGGACAGAGGTGAGGGAGCGCTCGCCGCGGCCGCGGAGCCCCGGCTCGGCCCGCGCCCCGCCAACTCCCCCCGGGACGGCAGGGCGCGCTCGGGCGCGGGGCGCGGCGGGCGGGCGGGCGTTCGCGTCCGGAGCAGGACACTTTCTCCCCGCGCTCCGCCCGCCTCGTCCGCGCTGCGGCTCCGGAGCCCCGGCCGCCTCTCCCGGCGCCGGGCCGGCTCCCGGTGCTCCGGCCGCCGGCTTTGTGGGAGCGGAGGGAGCCGCGGGCTGGAGCGGGGCACCGAGCAAGCGGCGGGCCGGAGACGGAGGAGCGGGCGCGGGAGCCGCCGGCCGACCTGCGCGGCCCGGGCCGGAGGGGAAGTTTGTCCCGGCGCCGAGGGCGAGGGACGGCCGGGCTGCGGGTCGGGGAGGGCGCCCCCGGGGTGCGGGGCGCGGGGCGCTGGGCGCCGGGCAGCCGAAGGGCAGCGCGGAGCCCCGGCCGCCGCGCCCGGGTGGGAAGCGCCGCATCGCGGAAGCCGAGCCCTCCTCTCCCCGGCTTTGCTTCTCACGGCTGCGGGGTCGCTCTGCTCGCCCGCCTGTGGCTCCCGGCTGGTGGCAATTCTCAGTTTCTCCCGCCGCAGCTAGGTGCCACCCGACTGCGGAAGGCGCGAGGACAAAGCGCAGGTTGGGTTACAGTTTAACTTCTGCCCCTCGACCCTCTGCGTCCTGCCCTCTGACTTGAATGGGGACACGGTTTGCTGTCCCCCTGGGACCTCCTCAAGCCCGGGCCAGGGTGCTCTGCAGCGCTCAGGACCTCCCAGGTGCAGCCCGTGCGGGGCTGTACCTTTCCCTCAGCGTTTGAGTTTCTTTCTGGCTTCCGACGTCCAGTTGGGAAGGCGTCCGAGTCCCAGGGCTCCGCAGAGAAAGGGCATCCGCTAGCGCCTGTCTGCATGGCCGGACTTAGGACCTGGGGCGGCCATTTGGAAATGATGTGCTCAGAGGAAAATGATTGAGACCTTGTTATATATATATATATATATATAATTTTTTTTTGAGCTGAGTGCACTGAGCAAGATGAGTACAGTGAAATTGAATGTAAGGTTTCTAATAGGGAGAGAGCTAGCTCGACTTACACTCAATCTGTTGGCGCCAGATGTGCCTGTCCATAGCAACCTTAGTTGGAGTGAGAGTTGAAAAATTAAAAGTAATTGGTTTTATGTTGGAAAATCTTGATTTACAAGCTAGTGGATGCATAACAGTAGTCAAAGAACTCAGAAATTCATCATATAATCTGATTTCACTCCCCAATACCATCATCTGCATTAAGCAGGACAAATCCATTGCCAGTGAGAGCCAAACAGATGGTAAGCTATTAGAAACTGTGGATGTCCCAGGTATTCCTATTGTAATGTGATGTGCTATTGTATTGTCCTGTCACTAAATCACCGTCATTAAACATCCCAAGTAAAACAATTGTGTTAGCAGCAAAAATTCTGAGACTGCATAACTGAATTTTATACCCTACCACCACCACCACCACTACTGCTAATAATAATAAATTTTCACCTTAACTTGGCATGCCTTAGTTTCTAAGAGGAGGTACTAACCCGACAGGCAAAGATTTATTTTTAAAGTTTGTTTTCGTTCACATCTGAACTGTGCATGCCCTTCTTAACGTGAATAGGTGTGTGCAGGGGCTCAGGAAACAAGCTGGGTTAGGTTTCCACTGTGTGGGGATCTGAGTGAATTCAGCAGCACCTCACATCCTCTAACCTAGGGATGAGGGGGTTTTGGCATCACTGCCCCACATGAAGTCAATAGATATTTATTTATATCTTAAGATTAATGCATTTGTATGATTTGTTGATTAATTTCATTCCACTGATGAAATGAATTCTAAAGTTTTTTCTTTAAAAATTGTCTGTGGAAAGAGGTAGTTGGATGTGTCTGGTACTCACGTAGGATGTCAGTTAACCTCTTTGGACCTTCCTTTCTCTCTGTGCCACATCAGGAGCTTGCATTATTCTGACCTGGTGTAGCTTTAGCAATCTGTAATTGAACTAATCAAAGTTAGGACTCGGTGTTTAGTCGGTGTTTAGTCGCCTACTGCGAGGTTTTACATATCACTCCTCTCCCAGACTGCTTTGGTGGCAGCCTTTGATGTGTTCTAAATTTGCCCAGTGCTTCAGTCCTACCACAGGTTTTCATCACCCTGGGTTGCATTTGTCTTCCCAGTGTGTGGAGATCTTTGAGGAAAGAGACCATTTCTGAATTCATCTTTGAATTCTCAGTGCCTGCCATTAACTCTGACTCGAGATAGAAAATTAATGTAAGTTAGTGTAAGTAAACTAAAGACAGCAAGAACTTAAGTGCTACTAAAATATGGATACTTAATAGTGAACTGGAGTATGGTTTGTAGTGTTACAACATATTGGCATTGGAAAAGATAAGATGGTAGAATAGCCAGTGGTTCTCAACCTTTCTTTCCCTTGTGCCCATAAAGAAATTTCTTCAGCAACAGTAGCTCACCAAAGCTGTGATTTGTAATCAAGGAAAGTAGCAGGTGGGAAGAGGAGAGGAAGAAAAGAAGATGCCTGACAAAGCTTTCCCAGAGCATCATGGCAACTCATAATCCATAATTTTAGAACTGCTCCTTCTTTCCTAGTAGCTGTATTTTACAAATAGAAAACATAAAAGACAAATGAAAAGAGATGTTTTCTCAGTGGGTGTTTCATGTTAAAATCTAATTCTTCATACCCATGGCCCTTTGGCACAGTGAATTTATTCATCTTGAATCTTCAGGGCAAGATTTTAAGCTAACAAATCAAGCTGTGGGTTGAAATTAATATTTACTCCGCCTTAAATTCAGAAGTTATAAACTAAAAGATATTCGGAAGTCTGCATCTTGCATGGGTCTTCTCTGGAAGCAGGACTTCTCAAGATCCAGATTGGGCCCCAAAATAGAGCAGGATGGCAGAGAGTTTTCATGGCTCTGTGTGTATCCTACACTGTTGTCCATCTGCCATGAACACATTGGACTAACCCTGCGGAGACCTTCGGGTCTGTCCAAGTTCTCCTTCATTCCAGTCCCAGTTTTTGATGTTCTTCGCTTATTTACTGAATACCTAATAAACATCAGACCCTCCTATGGCATTAGTATACATAGGGTTTGAGCAAATATAATTCTGATTTTCGTGGTGACTAGGTCCTAGATGGGAGAGAAGACTCAAAACACAAGACAGAACAAAACAAACAGAAAAACCCTCCATATGCAAGCAACAATTCATTCATCCATTCCTTCCATTCATTTCTTATCTATGCTATTCAAGATGTTATGAGAATACTGGAAACAAAATTTCTGTTTTTGTGCATCATAAGAGACTAGTGGAGAAGACAGATAATCAGACACTCACTAGTTAATTTGTCGAATAATTATGCCAAACATTTTAAACACTGCAACAGTAATAATGACAAAACTGGTAAAACCTAAAGGCGTTTTACATGCTAATAAAAGTCATGCAATGAACACAAACATCTATGACTATAAGTACTAAGAAGATCTCTACAAAGAAGTGAGGGAGTAAACCTTGCATATGTTTGAGGAAATGTAATCGGGAGGAGGAATTCTTGTGGGCATCCTGGAAAGATAAGGAAACCAGTGTGGGGCATTGAGCAGAGGAAAGAGTGACAGGGATGAAATGGATGCAGTCAAGTAACCCAGGGCCTAAGGATGTGACTCATCATTAGGATTGCAGGTTAGCTGAGAGTATGGAGTGCTCTGGGGAAAATAAAAATGTTACTGGGATAAAGAATAATGGGATCTGTTTAGTTCATGTTGGTCAAGGAAGGCTTCTTAAGAAAGCAAAATGTAAGCTTAGTTTTGACTTATCATATTGACAAAACCCTTAGGAAAACATTCGGAGTGAAGAGCTTACATAAAAACAGCTCCCCATTTACAGCTTGGCTAACAGCTGGTTAACTATAACCAAGAAAATGATCAAAAATTAAAACTAACAAGAAATAATTACATTCTTAGTAACATCCTGGGGTAGAAATTTGGTTAAGTATGCCATGGAAATCTACAGAGCATTTCTTTTCTTTTTATTCCATTTCTTTTTATTGCTAGGCCGAAACAGCATATATTATAATTAGATTTTCAAAGATATACTGAGCACTATAATTTACATGTCACTATGCATAAATCTGCATGTTGAATCCAAGTGGTCATAATATGAGACATTCATTTTCAGCCTAACATTTTATGTTAGTGGTACAGAAAGTAGCACATATAATTTGGCCTTGTGGCAAAGTGAAGATGCTGTTAAGGAGATTAGCGTGGAATGCTTCTCTTCTAGACTTTAAAATGATCGTAGCAGCTCTCCCCGACACTAGTGATTGGGTGGCCCGATTTTAATCTCTAAAACCAGAAGTGACCTTCACCCAAATTTAAGGCAAAGCGGAGTACAATCCATGATACTTAATCCCTTCATTTTAAAGTACAGAGATATACTTAGCTTTGTGAAAGACTGCTTCATTTTAGGCACTTTCTTACATATAGTGGTTCCAACTCTCCTTCGTTTTCCATTTCAAGGTCAGAAAGAAAACCAGAATTCTTCAAAATTTAATTTTTGCTTGCCCTTTTAAATTTAAAACAAATCGCTTTTTAAAACATCATGGCTTATGGGGCTGAGCGCCTGCCTTGCAAGCAGGGCAGTTGTGAGTTCGGATCCCTGGTACCCATAAAAAAGAAAAAGGCCAAAAAAAAAAATCCCCCAAAACATCATGGCTTACAGTAGATTAAAACAAAACCAACTCATCAAAGAAAAAATTAGCACTTAAAATCATTTTTTAAAGATTAATTAAAATTATGTCATTTAAATTGATATCTGATGACATGATCAGTAGCTCACAACCTACATTCAAGCACATGTATAAGATAAAACTCAGGTATTGACATCTACCTCTTATGTGAGTTAAATTCACTTGGACTTGCCAAAGTATAAATGGAAATCTTTATTTCTTAGCATCTTT